ACGGGAAGAATACAGAATTAAGAATTTCGTCCCTGATAACTTTTAGAGTAGATAAAACATAAGTCTAACCCAGGTCTTCCAAGGATATAATGATATGTATGGAATGTTATTTTTTATAGGATAAGGGTGACCAACGAGCACACAGTCCACCTGATGGTAAGTGGATGCTGTGGCCCATAGACATCTACATTCGATTAAGAATCAAAATGCAGATGTGTTGTCACCCCTGAGGACTAAGATGGAATGCCTCGATCCCAGTAAAACGGGTCTCTGGTTCTCTACACTTACCATAAGAAACAAAGCAGCATTAAGCTGCTATTTTACGCTGGTTTTCTGTGAGAGTGTGATTCTTCCCCGGTCGAGCCGACCCATTTATGCTACAACCTTAATATAGCTGCAGCGTGGCTCTACCACGTAAAAAAATATTACTTCTGTATGTAGCCAAATAAATAATATTATTAATCAAAACAAAAGATGATTACTAATTTATGTATTGCTATGAAGAAGTGATTGTAACAAATCGTCTCGCACAGGAACTCAATGACTGTCAACTTTCCAAACATCGGTTCCCAAAAAGCTTAGCCTCAGCTTAGGTAAATAGACCACAAATATAAAAGTAAAGTTACTGCCTCCTATACGTTCCACTACTGATTTTAGGACAAGAAAGTGGTGTCTGCCGCACTGCACCAATGAGTTTTGGCGGCCATTTTATTACGTCTTCGAACTTTTTTAAATTTCTCAGATATTCGGGTTTTCTCATAAAGTTCTCTTTACCGGTGAGCAAGTGGTAAATCAACACTTAAAAATGCAATTTACAATTTCATTGCTGCCGGCGGGGATCGAACCCAGGTTGCACGCGTATTGTTAAATTTACAGCGAGTGCTTAATTCCTGAGCTAACACGATTCTCATAATCTGCCGTGTTCCAAACTTCGACGGAGTAATCTGCCGTATTTTATCGAAATTTGAGTGCTACAGTCACAGGCTTTCAAGCGGTACCAGATTGGCAGTCGGTATAATAGTTTTAAGGCAATGGTAAATATCCTAATTCAGAACCAGAGCACGAAACCTATCCAACTGCAAAAAGATGTAAGGCAGGGTGACCAAAAACTTAGAAATTATTTACCATCGCGTTGTAGACGTTTTCAAGCTACTCGATTGGTAATCATATAGTAGCAACATCAATGGCAAGTGCATCATTTACCTTCGATTTGCTGACGGTGTAATCATCGTTTGAGAACCTTGGCACTATGTTTATTAATCTTAGTATTGTCTCCCGAAGAATGGGTTTTAAGGAAAATATAGAAAATACAAAGATTATATGTTTCAACTTTGGCACATGTATTCTAGTAGTGGTTAGGAACATTGAACAAATATCGTCAGGTGGGTCCAGGTTGGACCAATAAGTTATTCGACGGATCCGACTCGGCTGAGCAATCTGTAAATTACGACACATTTTGTCACATACTTTTTTATGCAAGAAGAGTCAAACAATCATACAGCGCACTTGATGGTAAGTGATCACCGTCACCCGTGAACATACCCAATATCAGGGGAATTGTTCGACATAAAGTTCCAAATAGTCCTTTACAGCTGGCCGAATAATCCGAGTCATCTTAAAGCCACGCGGAACAACAAAACAAAAAGTTGAGATATTATATAAAACCCGACCCGGCTTCGCACGGGTGATTTAAGTATCTCAACAATAGCGCCACCTGCCGAGTCCAGTTGTAAAACAAACCATCCAGGGACTCACTCAAACGCACACAAAAACTTTATCAAAATCCTTCAAGCCGTCTTCGAGTTAGCAAGACTAACAGACCGCAATTGGTTTTTATAATACACAAATAACTTCGAAATTCAATGTCCAATTCGAATGAATTAAAAAGTATTTTTCTGCTACATAAATACCGTTAATGATAAAACTATCTACTTACTTTAATAAGAATTATACGAATGTAACCAACTTTAGTTTCTACCGGCGATCTAATTCAATTTTAGAACACAAACGCTATTATTGTGACTTAGATAATATATTCCCTCGCAGACTTTTTTATAAGTAATAATGAGTAGGTACTTTAATCACATATGGCGCACGAAATAACGAATTTACATTTACATTGTAATTTTCTTAAGGATCTCTATTTTTTCCTTAAATAATTTATAAATTCTATCGCTTCCTGATAATTTAGCTTTTTATTGGTTAAAATGGTTAAAGCCGGTCCAGTAGCTTCGGAGCTTATTATATACAAACGAAACAAAAAAATCTTTCCTCTTTACAATATCTACTATTAGTATAGACTATTATAGATTAATATAGATCTTCGAAATCGAATTTGTTCGAAACCTGGTTTAAACTATTAAAAGTATAATGTAAATAAAATAATTTCTCTACATGCATAAAAAGTTATTTTTGTAACCTGGGGTAATTTTTATTATTGTTGCGTGAATAAGTCAACTAGCGCCATCTAGTGTCAGGAACGAGAGCGAGGGGAGCTTTGCAGAAAATGACATCACAAATCTCTCAACCGACAGCGCCATCCGAAGAACTAAGTTTCTAGAAAATCTACACTCGCACACTCGTCCCTTTGCGCGCATTTACTTGAATATTCCGGATGCTTCTTTGCTAATTTAAATAAATAGGCGCTGCAAGATGCGATCGAGGCAGTATTGAAGTGGCGAAACAAGCGAAGCTTCGGAGCGGAATAAAGTGAATTAGTGTGTTTAATTATTAGTGTTTTAAGTTTTAATTTGTGTAAAGTAAATTAAAGTGTTAATTTAGGTAATTTTATCGGCAATTTTTATTGTCACGAACCTCAAGCTCGTAACATTATATACCTATGATATCTATCTCCTACCCACGGCACAAAACACAAAAATATAATAAATTGATACGTTGGTGCTAACTTGTGTCTCGCATCGCACGTAGTACATGGTGACTACGATTTCAGTAATTAATCTTATAACTTATACGCAACTCTGACGTAAGATGCACGCTTCTTATTTATTACGTGTGAGCAGCATAACAGAGTTACAATAAAACAATTTATTGGTTACACGAAGCACACTATTTATTTAGCCACTGCTCTTGTTCTGATTCATTTACGGCATCAGATAGCCGAGTTTATTGGGCATTGTATATTCTCAGCGATACGTGATTAATTGATATCGTTGTATCGATGTCCGCGTCGTTAATTTATGGCTGTCTTTATACTGACATAACGATTTACTACGCGAACAAAATTTTGTTTCTGACTACATTTTAAAAACTTTATTTTTACATAATAGTGTGGCAGGAAAATTAATGAACATATTTATACTGACACATAAGCTGCTACCAAGTTTACATTATTGTGAGAGGTGTAGTTCTAAATAAAAAATAACTTCAGTCATCTATTTGTATTAGACGACTTCAAAAAAAAAAAAAGAAAGGTTCTCAATTCGACTGTATGTTCCTTTTTGCACGTATGTTACGCGATGTCTTCATCAGTTGTGAACCGATTTTAGCTATTCTTTTACTATTACATAAGTTTTGCTATACATGTAAGTATTTGAAGAAAAAATTCAAAACCAAATGGTGAAAAATTGGGATAAATTTTTAAATGTAACTGTTTAGACAACATTCGAGGTTGTGATTAGTCCTTAGACCACTCAAAAGAACATTCGAATTTGAATAAAACGTAACAGCCAACCTTCAAGAATTAAAAAGAAGAAAATAATTTCCACATAATTGTTTCTGAAGTTATTGATTAAATACTTCTACTAATTTGTAGCAATATCTTCTGAAGGCCGAATGGCACAGGGTGAGAAATTGTGTGATAAGAGAAGAGTGTGGGTTGTAAGATAATATTGTAGCCAAGATTAAGAAAGGAATACATCGGTGGTTTGGTCATGTAGAAAGAACGAACGAGAAAAGAGTGTGACTAGGCAAATTTATATTGCAGATGTGAACGGTAGAGTCGAGATGGGAAGCCCCAGACGAAGGTTTATCGACCAAATTGGCGGTATATAGAAAATGGACCAGAATAGGAGTACCCTTAATCGACGAATGTGTAGTATATGGATGTAAAGGAGGCGAAAGAGGTGTGTCAGGATCCTGCCAAATGGAAGCCCGTAGTCTCTGCGTACCCCTCTGAGTGACAGGCGTGAGTGTTTATGTACATATGACTTTTGAAGCTATTATAAGGAAATTATATTATTCCTTTTAGTTGTTTGAAGAAAGTTTTTTATTTTTATTCTAAGCTACGTAAACCTACTGCTGTATAAAACCACTTTCGACAAAAATAATTCCACGCTAATTATAATTTAATTTGCTATAAACTTCCCGGTCATCCCGGAGTCTGGATGTGGTAAACTTCTGTCAACTTAGTAGTTTTTACCATAATGTTCATTACAACTATATATACGAATTAGGGACATACAACTATCTTTTTTATTACTTACATTAATATATGAGTGAAAATTTAGATTTCATCCCTGAGGACTAAGATGGAAAAAGCCACGTTAGCAGTAAAGGTGGTCTCCAGTTCTCTACACTTACAATATGAAACACAGCAGCATTATGCTACTGTGTAATATTCTATGTTAAGTGCAAACAACATTTCAGTTCTGTCAAGTTTACATTAACCCTAAAAAGGTTGGATCTTGATTTCGACGCTATTGTCTTCAGCGAGTGCTGGCTTAATGAGTTTGTGACGGTCCCCCTATTGCAAGGATTTACATCATTTTACTCTCAAAAGTATATTAACAGGGCAGGAGGAGTCGCTATCTACATAAGAGATAGGTGGTCAGCCAATTTTTCTGAGCTGAACGTTGACGAGGGTAATTGTATTCTCGCAGAAGTTGCAAATCACTTCTCAGTAGTAGCCGCTTACAGATCACCTAGTTACACCAACCCAGAAATATTTATTCGCTCTCTTGACGCTAACTTAAAAACGGTTAGTCCCTCTCCTTGTCTTATTTTTGCTGGAGACATAAACTTAAATATTATTGGGTCTGCAGCTGACATAAACTTGCACACGGAGTACTTAGATGTATTAGCAGAGTACGGACTTTTTCCAGCTATAACCAAACCAACTCGGGTCCAAACCTGCATAGATCACATTTTTGTACCCGTAAAATCTAATGCGGAGTCCGTAGTCTATCTCAATGCTGCCACTGACCATGATATCACTATGGCAGGCATAATGTTAAAGACACACAAACCAAAAAGACCAAAACCTATTCGATCAAGAGTAATAGTTGACATAGACTCAATAAGATCAGAGCTGGAAGGAACGGACTGGTCAACAGTAATAAACTGCAGCTCTCTTGAAGAGTCTGTAACTCATTTTACTAAGACGGTATCAGAGGCAATATTGAGATATTCAAAAACTTGTGTAATAAGCCGCTCCAGAACTACCTTACACCCCTGGATGACTTCTGGTTTAATCAGATGCTCTAAACACCGCGATAAGCTTCATATAGAATATCGCAAGGACCCAAACAACCCAACTAAAAAACTTATATATACGCGCTATAGAAATTTTTACATAGATCTAATTAGAAGACTAAAACGTGATTACAACAAAAAAGAAATAATCAAAAATAAATATGCTCCAAAAAAACTCTGGGGTACTATTAACCGCATAACTGGCAAAGACACTAGCTCAAGTTCTAACCTGGCTCTCATCAACTCAAGACCCTCCGTAAAAGAGTCTCTCAATGTTTGCAACTCCTACTTTGCTTCTGTAGGTAATAAGCTGGCAAACTCTATCATGCTGAAATTAAATGAGACTCAAGAGTCCCTTGCCGAAAAAGTACACATTCCTGATCAACCCGTTGGTTCATTTTTCATGAATCCTACAGATGAACTGGAAGTTGTGGGTCTTATCCGGTCTCTTGATTCAGGTAGTGCGCCTGGTATGGACGGCATCACTAACAAACTTTTAAAATCAGTGGCCCACACAATCGCGGAGCCCCTGGCTGCGATATTTAACTTAAGTATCTCATCGGGAGTCTTCCCAAGCCAGTGGAAAGTTGCGGCAGTTACCCCCATATACAAGAATGGAGCTACGGACGATCCTTGTAATTACCGACCCATATCACTCCTGGGTAGTTACTCGAAGCTCCTGGAACGTGTAGTCCATAAGCGGCTGACTACCTATCTTGAAAAGAATAGCATACTCTCGGACCGTCAGTTCGGTTTTCGCCAGGGAAAATCAACTGAGGACGCAGTAACTCTTCTCACAGATATGGTTGTAACTCATCTCGATCAGGGTCGATCCTGTGTCGGTGTTTTTCTCGATCTGGCTAAAGCATTCGACACGGTATCCATCCCCATCCTCCTTAAGAAATTAAGTGCTCTTGGGATTCGTGGTCTAGCTCTAAACTGGTTTTCCAGCTATCTGTCGGATAGAAAGCAATGCGTCCAAATAGGCGATCAGGCAAGCGATCTTAGATCTGTAGATTTTGGTGTTCCTCAAGGTAGCATCTTGGGGCCGACTCTTTTTATTTCGTACATTAATGATATTATGTCAATTCAACTTGAAAATAGTGAGGTTGTATGTTATGCTGACGATACAGCCATAATATTCTATGGTAAATCTTGGTACGACGCCTATTTTTCAGCCATCTCCGGGTTGTATAAATTACAAAAATGGTTAAATAACAACATCTTAACACTGAACACCTCAAAAACGCAGTTAATTTGTTTTCATAAAACTGCAGCGTCTGAACCGCCACCCTCACTTTTCAATAGCCTTAAAGTACACAACGACAACTGTAGTTTTCGCTCCGTGAGCTCTCCAAATTGTAACTGTGACCAGATAAATAGGGTCGGCTCCCTTAAATATTTAGGCATTATAATAGATGAAAATCTTAACTTTAAAAGTCATATATCGGTGACATCAGCCAGGGTCCGTAAGCTGATACACACGATGAGACTATTGAGAGATTCTACTGATGGCAGCATTTTAAAGTCCGTCTACCTTGCACTATGTCAGTCCGTACTTAGCTATTGTATACTGGCGTGGGGTGGTATATCCTCCTCTACGTTGATAGTACTGGAAAGGGCCCAGAGGGCAGTTTTGAAGGTAGCTATGGGTAAACCAAGGCGCTATCATACGTCAGATCTCTTTAGAGAAGCTCAAGTTTTAAGTGTCCGTAGATTGTATCTTCTGAGGGCCTTTACATTTATGCACAAGGAAGCTTCAAAACTGCCGACGTTTAATACATTAATAAATAAAAGAGTGTTTAAGATCCCCACAACCTTAGTTAAAACATCTTTCGCACGTCATTTCACACTGTTCCAATCCCCTCGCATCTACAACAAATTAGTCAACTTATACGACTTAAAACGATCCCAACTTTATGAGGCTAAAATAAAAATGAGAGGTCATTTATTGACTTGGGACTATGAGAAATCAGAAGAAATATTGGTGACCCTTAAATAGGTGTTAAAACGGTAGTGGACTGCACTGACGCACGCCCTGTCGTCCGATCCCAAGAATTTAATTGTAGGGCTACCTAACCACTCAGCTTATCCCCAATTGCAATCTGTCACCCTTTTACTTATAATTTTTAGAGAATTATGTAACAGGCATGCTAGCACACACACACACACATACACACACACACACACACACACACACACACACACACACACACACACACACACATACACACACACACACACACACACACACACATAAACACATACATACACACACACACACACACACACACACACACACACACACACACACACACATTCATACACATTCACCCACAAGTACACGCGCGCCCCTTTTAATTAGAATCTGTTTGTTATGTCTGTAATTTTTCATAAATTTTTAAGTCATTTTTGCTTTGCTGCACATAATTGTTTTACGTAATTTCGACAAATAGCCACTTTGATCAATTGTAAAATCTTTTGCTTGACCCCCACGAGACAGGCCATGCCTAGTGTGGGAGTCACAGAACTTATTGTATTTTGGCTACGTGTTTTCTGGTAAATAAACAAATTTATTATTATTATTATTATTAAGTATTTGTAGCATTTCATTTAACCAAACATTAAGATGATTTTCCAGGCAGAAATAGTAGTTGTTTACTCATTTCTACCGCCAATCAGTCGTGGATGAACTTCTGTGATCCAGTTTGAAGTGTGTCAAGTATTATCACAGGCGACAAGGCTTAATACTCACAGGTGACAATCCATTATTCGACCTAGGTAAGTCCTTAGAAGTGACAATATATCATTCGACCTGCAGATTGGTGATGAAGGTGTTTGAAGTTGGTTGCTTGTTTTTATATAATAATGCATGTTGCACTCTATTGTTATAAAAATAACCTTGGTATAAGCTTTAAGCTTAACAACAAAAACTTTATAAAACATTATTTACCGTGGATTGCGTAAGGCGAGTCAGTTGATATAAATAATCTTTTGATATTTATCTTCTGTAATGCTAACAAAAGAAAAAAAAGGAGGAGTTGTACATTACAGACAGAATGAACTACACCGTGTTCAGTGAGCACGAGCCGCGAGTGGGTGGTGCGTGGATACGTGATGTAAGACTTGACGCCTCCACAAAGCCGCGCATTTGTAAATTGTTTTAGTTTTATTGTAACTGTTGTCCGTTTCAAAAGACTTACTATTAAATAATAATAAGAATTCGAAGTATATCATCTTATTTACTTTAATTTATATAGCAAATTTTGCTGTTATACCTGTTTAGTGTTTTAAGCAATATCAATCATTAGGCTTTATCTATTTTATAGTTTTCCTAAACCGTTATAGAAATGCTTCTTAAAAATAATATTGGTTAAATGTGTTCAGATTTTTAGACCCTTACTTGATAAATGAGGGCTGGTGTCTTGCAGAGAGAGCTTGGTGTTGTATTGTATGTTTTGATGAGCGTTGGGTAATCAGAAATAAAAAAAAAACAATAAGAAACTGAAACAGAACAGAAAAGTGAAAGGCCTTGTATAGTAAATGCAAGAAGATATTTATTATTTTGTAAAAGGTGTTTTGAAAGTAGTTTTAAAGTTTAAAGTACGTAACCTTTTTACTATCGAAGGTAAAATCAGATCTATAATACAACTAATAGAAAAGTCTTAGTTATTTGTGGTCAGAATTATCGACCTACTTTAAGTCAAAGTTAATCAACAGTGCAAAAATCGTTTTAAAGTTTATATTGCTTTAGAGGGTTATTCTATGGAATGGCAATGAACGTTAAAAGACAATCAACCAGATGACGAGTTAGGCAAACGTATTGAAAAGTAGTTTGCTTTCAGAGTTGAAAAACATTGTAATTATATACTTTTTGGAGTTGATAGTAAGTTTTTTCCAATCGCATTAGTTACGTCCTTATGTGCATACGCTTGGAGCACTATAATATTAATATTTTCTGTGCTGTTGATAGCAGAATTAGTATTCGATAGGTATCGCTGTGAACAAAATCATTAGAACATCAACATTAATCGTTTGAAGTAAATTCATTATTATCATCATCATTATTACCAAATACTTAAATAAATAGTTTGTTTTAATAAAAAATTAACAGCGTTCATTTTGAAAAAGAAACAGCGCTGCTTAAGTGATTTTATTTTATAGAAGAGGGGCAAACGATCATACGCATCGTAAATACTGCAATACCTGGAGAATCGCAGGTGCTTTGCCGGCCTTTTAAAAAGAGTAAGCTCTTTTATTGAAGGTCCTTACGTCGATCGGCCCGGAAAAATCGCTGGTGGTTGTCGATTCTACAAGGTAGTTGTGCGAGGAAGAAAACTTCCTGTAAATTGCTAGGTGGTGGACCGCCATTCAGACAAATGATATGGATTGTGTTGCGAGTTTTGTTGTGATTGAAGTTGAGCGGCTGGAATTAGTCCGGAAAATTCTTCAGAGCACTTCCTATGGCAGATACGATAAAATACGCAAATAGCAACATCTCTTCGCCGTGCCAGTGAATCGAAAAGAGCTCGGTCGAACCGCTCTGCGCTGGATGTAATCAAATTGAAGGAACTGGCACTGGGGAGCCCCAGCCCAAAGATGGGAACAGTATTCTACGTAACGCCGAACCTGCGCCTTGTAAAGTTGCAGGTATTGTTTATCAGTGATGCATATTCCTTCATGGCGTTATTCTTTACTGCCAGGTCAATTGCGGACGTTATTACTTACTGCAATATTACAGAATTGACAAAATCTAGATTTCACAGATTCTATGAAATTGACACTTTGCAACTCAACGGCATAATAATAGTAAGTAACTGATTTGATTGTCTAAGAGCCGTAATAAATATACTTTTCAATATTTTACATATAAAAGAGGAACTTTCTCGAATGCATAATATAATCATACATAGCCGTTTTTGAACAGAACTTCTTGTGTACTCGTGTTTGAGCTTAAAATCGACTACAATTTATTTACGTGTGATGAATATCCAAGGCTGTTACAATATGTTAAAATATGACTGCGACAGGTAAGTTCTATGGTCATAACTATATTTCATGTTGGACGGGGCATTAAAGTAACGGCGGCAATTTAGTGTTAGATCATAAAATCTGATGCAGCAAAAAATAATGCATAATTATTTTATTATATTTATTAGACTATGTAGTTTATGCACTTTTCGCATCAACAAACACGCGTTCAAAGATTTGGGTAAAATTAACCAAAAATAAAAATTTATTTGTGACGGCCACCCACGAGTCCCTGGCAACACTGGCCGTCGTACGACAAATCATTATGACGTTTCGTGTCGAACAATCCGCGTCGTATCCTTAAACAAAATAAATCTACAAAGGAAAAAATTAAGCATATTATAAGAAAATGGAGAATAAGAAAGAAAAACTAAAAAGGAAGCTTATGGATCTTTTATTTTCTTCATCAGAATCAGAAGGTATGTTTACTAGGAGATTTTTCACCACTATTTACCATTTCTGGCTCATCTTTCGTTTTGGGGCACTAATTGGTTTCGAACACCGGGATCTATGTACTGTATTCATGTAACAAGAATGCTTGCGGTCGTTGCATACTGTCCACTTCTCATAGATTTAGATAGATTAGAAAATAGAACTTAGATTTTCTACGAATTTTAACTAATTCGGGCCGGTAGATTTTGAGAAATCCCAAACTAAAAATTTTGAAAAACTGTTTTTTTTTGGAATAGCATTTAAACTGCGTTACCGATCGATTCCAAAAACTATGCAGCTTTTAAACTAAAAAAAAAACCACGTCGATCTCCGCCGGTCCGGTAAAATCGGTTGATTCGTTTTTGAGATATTGTTATCTATCAAAATCAAATTGATTTTTTTAAATTACTCCGATATTTCATATTCAGCGTCATAATTTGATGAAATTTGGAGCGCTTGGCATTTGAAATTAGCAGGAAGTTCCAGGGATGGCATGGAGGTTTAACCAATTTTTTTTTTGTTGAATCTACCCATTTGTGCTGCAGCCACATTTATATATATATATATATATAACTGTAAATGCAGCGTGGCTCTACCACGTAAAAAGTACTAGAATATTATTGTATTCTTTCGACACGTACATTAAAATCTGACGCCAGCTTAGGCGTAGTTTAATACTAATATGCTTTTACTGTCGCATTCAGTTCATCTATATCAACTTTCTTCTCCGCGCAGCCACAAAGATCATTTGTGAAATCATAATTTAACAAAAGAAAGTGATTGATTTCGCATATCGTTCATCGTCGTCGTCATAAGATATTCGTTTTATCTTCACGACGAAATTCATTTTCAAAAAAAAAAACGTAATAATAATATAATATAAATATAGCGATATTGCAAAGAAACAAAACCAAAAAAAAAAAACAAATAGGTAATGAACAACCGGTTTAGAAAAAGGAATAACATGAAATAAAATTATTATCTCTATATGTAAAAATAAATTGCTCTCCGTTACTCTCACTAAAACCCTAAGCGGGCTCGACTGATTCTGATGACTTTTTTGTGTACGAGTGGGACCCTGGACGGTTTATATTCACAATCGGACCGTGTAGGTGGAGCTGTTATCGAGATCCAGATCTCCCGTGCGAAGACGGGACGGATCACTTATATACAATGAATACAAAATTTTATTGATTTAAGAATTCCTAGTCGACACATAGCTATTAGCTCAAAGTAGCCAACAAAACGTCAATATCAGCAACGACCAAACCTCTATGTAATTGATTCGTAATTTTTATAAATTGAACTCTTACTTTCGATGAAAAAAATGTTTTAGAAGATATTTTGTTTCACTGATTGCTCATTCTGTATAAATTAAATTTGAAAACGATCATTATTACCATGTTGAACAAATTCTTGGAAAACTACAAAGAAAAGAATAGCTCTCCTCTTAGTATTAAAATGTTCCCATGAATGCGAAATCGTGACTTACATCCAAAGCGAAATGGTCTATTCGTTTAACTTAGCTCTAAGCATCCATTGTTTCCAAACCTATCCTAAGTTAGTAAGCGATAAGTCCGTTTAGCTGAGAATTCGAATTGAGAATTCGATGAACTCAATCGATAATATGGTTTTCTGGTCAAGTACGTCGTGACAAAGACTTTTTCGGATGGTATCAAACATAAAAGTTTGAAATTTCTATTTAGCTTCAAAATACTGTTTTCCTCTTTTAAGCAACTCATTATAACTAATACTTGGCTGCAGAAATGACCATTGACTACAATAACCACGAACTAGCAAAGTGTGGACTCTAAATTGGTTTCACTCTTCAGAATCACAAGAAAAATTTAAAATCCATAATATTACATAAAAGAAGCTGGTTGCAACCAGTCTACCCATAATGCCAACAACCTATTTGACACACGACAATGCGGATTCAGTTATATGTATATGAATACTATCGAAAAAGTATGATTTTAAATATTAATAAATTAATGTAACAAAAAAACTTCATATCAATATTCGATAAAAACCTAATATAATGTACATAATACCATGAAATCACTACTACAACCACTTTTTGAAAATGTATATATAATTATTTATTTATTTATGGCCACCCACGATATTAGTACCGGAGAACATTTACAATATTCTCCGTACAGATTTTGCATACACACGACTTAGTACAAATCTCACTTATAGATAACCAGAAAACAAACAGTAGAGCATATTAAATATAAATAAACAAAGTTTTATACTGTTTAAGTTTATTACTGTTTTCACCATGTAAATTTCATTGTCTAACCAAATTACGTTCTACTACTAAAAACTGATACTACTACTTCCCCGTGTAGTGGCGGGTGAGAATACCCACTACCCCATATCTTCCCGTGGGTGTCGTAAGAGGCGACAGAGGGAAACTAAGGCATAAGATGAGTATGGGATACCAGCAAAAATCAATAAAAAATACTGCAGTTGCCAACCCGCTTTCTAGGCGTGGCAACTATGGCAATATACCCCCATGAGCAACGACATAAATAAACGGCCCCAGTCCCCGGCGGCCTCGCTATTCCTAGCTGCGGTGGCGACCATGGTAACAGCGAGGCAAGGGTGCTAAGAATCTCCGGTGGAGGTTTAGGTGCCATCTAAGACGGCTCGACCTGGTAATATGTAACATACACACCCTGAGGACTGGCGAAAC